CCGTACATAATACCGTTGCGAATTAAGTTAAGGGAGGTGAAAAATTAAATTTTAATCGTAGTCACGGCTATAGTCACGGATGTGGCCGTGACTAAGTCGTCGGAATCAAATAAACTTCGCCGGAAACGGAAACGGGCCTATCGGAGGACTTAAGTCACGGGCCAAGACCGTGACTAACTGTAGTCACGGCCATAGTCACGGTCCAGACCGTGACTATTTTTTTTAAAAAAATTTCCGTGACTAGTCCGTGACTAGTCCGTGACTAAACTAGTCACGGACCAAATCCGTGACTAAAATCCGTGACTATAACGCTGTTTTTTTGTAGTGAGATAAACTACCAGATACAAAATGAGAGAATTTTTTTGGGACATCCCGAAAAGGTAAGCATGAATTATTTTTTGAGACAGAAGGAGTAGTATATAGTATAATTGTATAAATAATTGCAAAAATTGATTGTAATAATCCCAACTATTGGCGATCTGCTCACAATAATGCCAAATATCGATTATTTCAAAATAATCTCAACTTTATGGACCTTCCGCCAATAATGGTCCGGCGTGACCGGCTATAAATAAATTCTTATAGTTTCTAAAGTGGTATAACAGGTAAGCCCTATAAATAATCCCAACTTTTAATTTTTACTCTTAATTTCTATTTAAATTTCACATGTTATAACAGGTAATATCCGGTCATGGACCATTATTGGCGGAGGGTCCATTTAGTTGGGATTATACAAAAATAATCAATAGTTGAGATTATTGTTAGCGGACCGGCAATAATTGAGATTATTACTTTCAATTTTTCCTAAATAATTTCAAACAACTGTAATGAAAAAATACAATATAATTTTAAAAATTACAAATGAAGAGTTGTGTATAAGAAGTTAAGAACTTGTCACAAAATGATTTCGTGATTCCTAAATTTTTTCTTTTTTCAAAGGAAGAGGCCATCTTGCCTAGCTTCGTATAGTTCACAATCTTCCCACCCTCTAGAAGATTAGGACTTTTAAAGATAAAAACAGAGAAAAGGAATAGATTAAACCGGCCATCAATCAGACCATTAATGTGGTGTTTGACAAAATGCATGAACGACTGAATCATTGACCGAGAAAAGGTTTTGAGTTCATTTCCACTAAGCTTAAATTCCATTTACAGGGGGTCATGTGAAATGCATGTTCACACGACAGGTTTTGAGTTCATTTCCACTCACCAAATTTTTGCAATGTTCATACATGTAACCCTACAGAAACTTGAAAAATAGAGAAAGAAATTACCTGGTTTTGAAGACGGAGAAGAGAGCCGTGTTCACTGAAAGAGAAGAGCTGCGTTCGACGGAAGAAGAGAGTTGCGGTCGTATGATATTGTCGATTAATGAAGCATGAGTTTTTTTGGAAGAAAATTAATAAGCAACCGGGAATTTAACAAAACCTAAGGCCTAAGTGGATTTCACATGACCGGTCGTGTGATTACTTTTTCACTTTTGGGAATGTAACATTCCTAAAAAACAAATCAAACCCGCGAACCAAATACAAATATCTCACATTCCGAGCATCAGATTCTGACCTATATATGATATTACCTCGAATTAAACGTACCCTATGAGTTGTTAAAACATCTTACTATTGAAGAATGATAGGAGTACTTGTTTTCAAAAGTACAAACACTTTGGAGATTGGTTTTGGAAAAAATACGTTTGACATGGATTTTTGTAACAATACAATTAGATATTGATTTATCAAGGAATGTGGTAAAGGCGTAAAGCTAGTACTTTATGTGGATTAGATTCGAATATAGTATTTACAAATATGAGATGTGTAGTCTGAGTTATATAAATTGAATATTGATTGAGATTCAAAAGTTATTTTGGAGGTTGAATATTTTAAAACTAATATTTTACTCCTACTATGTGAACTATTCAAAGTTTATAAATGTATTTTAAGCTATAAATGCTATTCTAAATTATTATTTAGTACTTTGAAAAGTATATAAGGTTTGAGAAAGTATTTCTGAAGAATTATGAGATATAAGACATTATTTTACTTGCATATGTGTGATATGATATAAGATGAAATAAGGTTTGCAAACTGTACCCCAATTTAGTTGATGGAGTATATTCTCATATATCCCAAGGGTACCGAACATTCACATACAAAGGAAGTCAATATCATGCTGAGTCCGACCTCGACCCATCGGAGGTCGGCGCAGCATCGGGCTCCCAGATCACGAAAATAAGGCCAAATCTGAGGCTGGCCTCGAGCACACCGAGGTCGGTACCAGATCTAACCTCGAGCACAAACATAAGTCAGCGGGAGTCAACAGAAATAAGGAAATGACCGCCACCGAACAAACTAAAGACCATGATCAAATCCTCTTGAATGAGCTCACTGTACCTAAGCTCTGACCTCACATAGCTCGGGGCCTCATTGACCAAATGTGACTTGGACATTTCAGCAATCAAGTATCGCACAAGCTACAACCACGTCACCAGCGCTATGCGAAGGCCACGTCACTCCGGCAGTTAGAATAAGAATATTCTGGATGGCACACACACGTGTTCTGGTATAATTCTGTGACACACAATACCAATCAACCAGCTATCTCAAGTATCTCTCCAATAACCTTTACACATGTCCCCATACTATAGACTAGTACATTTATTTTGTTATAGACACGCGTGACACGTGTCTTCACCACAATAAAATAAATCTTTTCACTTGTCAGCCAAATATTTTTCTCTTAGTATAAATATGACCTTCCAACTTGTGGAAAGGGATTCAAATTTTGTTGTAAAGAACTTAATGTTACTTTACTCAAATTTCCACCGGATCTTACTTAACACTTCTTTGTCTCTCATATATTCCCGGATTCCGACTACCCCTAGGTCGGCGATCCATCATTAGTGTATAATAATATTTGAGAAGACTATAAAGTATTTTGGAGGAAGCGGTCCAGCCCAGCTGGTCGCCGACTCACTCTCTCTTATGGGAGGTCTCGGGTTTGAAACTCAATGGAGTGAGTTTCAATCTCAATTACTCCAGGCCCCCCAGGCCCCCTCCCCCAAACGCCCTAGGGAGTAAAAAAAAAGACTATAAAGTATTTTGAGAAGGTTTCGGCCTATATTTTGAAAGAGTATATATATTTGAGAAGACTGTAAAGTCACATTTTTTGTAAACAATCTTTATTTTATTCATAAATATGTAATTATTTCTTTATTTTTAAAGAATTGTAGTTACACAGCTAACTGTGGGAAATTTAGTTTTATTTCGAATTATGAAATCGTTGGTGGTGGTTAGCCTGTGTGCCCGGTTAAGGGGGAAACGAGTGTGACGGTAACAATCCTATTTTCCTTTGATTTTCCGCTACAAAATTATGATTTTTTCAAATAAAGTTAATGTTTTCTTTGAATAAATAATTATTTAAAGGTATTTAATTTGGGTGAAAATGTGGGGTGTTACATTTACTCATTCAAGCAAGAATACTTTTGAGTTAATTTTGTAGACAGTTATTGTTTGTGATTCGACTCGATAGATAAGTTCAAACGTATTGAAGGATGAGAGTGGTCAAAGTGGAAAATTGTCGCACTCAAATTTCCCCTTTTATGGAAGGTATTGAGTTCAAGTTACAAATGAAATAAATTTGAAAGACTTTACTCCAGCAATTATCCTCTTGCCCACGGGCTAGCTCGAGCGATCGCACGCTCATTTCGCTCAAACAACAATGTATGTGTTAACTTCATGCCGGAAACGTTTTTTTTAACAAATGGTACACAGGTGACAATGAGAATTTAACTAGTTATGTAAACAATTTGAATTTTCTTTCTCCAGGGATTTAAAGTAATGTTTTGAAAGTCCAGAATCAGTCCACGACTCAAGATGCATTGGGAGTGCGGCGGTTCAAACACAAAAGGATGAATACAAATACGGGAGTATAATTTTTCACTTTTGGGAAAAAGTACAAAAAGTTCTTGTGTTGAGCCCGTAGGCATGCATTTCAATTCTTAACAAAATATTCCTTATATTATAATTCCATTATCAGTGGAGGGATTTGAGGTCTAGCGACATTAGAAATTATCGGAGGAAGATGATGCACACTAACTTTGATTTTCAAAAGTATCATGAAAATAAATACTACTACTTCCGTAACTTAAAAATCTTCTCATTTCAAAAGTAGGTAGATTAAGAATAGTGAAAGATGATATGAATTATTGAGGATATTATGGGAAGTTAGTGGAATAATGTGATGGAATGTAGGATAAATCCAAAAAAAGTAGTTGCAATAGTGTATTATTTTTAGAATTATTGAGGGTATGATGAGAAGATTTAGAAGTGAGAAGATTTTTTTTGTCACGAACGAAAAAAGAAAGTGGGAAGATTTTTTTGTTACGAAGGGAGTACGTAATAAATACTGCGAGACGCGTTTTTTCAAGGCAACCCTTCAGAGCATATGTCCTTTTTGTTTCCAACCACCTATGCTACCGAAAAGTCATCCAGAAAAATAATATTAGCGATTTTTTTTTTTGAAAAACAATCCAAACATAGCTGAATAAATTTAAAATGGAAGATGGTTTGAAGGCCGCATAAACAAGGCACACATCACAACGATTTCTAATGGCGTTAGACGTCCAACCACTTCCATGATACATAACTAAAACGTATGGACTAGTTTATTACTCTTTCCGTCCCGAATTGTAAGACACTTTACAGTTTACGATGTTTGATCGACGATAAAACAAATTGATGTTTGCCAGCACTCAAATTAGTTTTAGATAATAAATTTTGCAGATTCAGAAACTATATTAAAACCACTATGAAGTCTGCAAAAAAATTCAAATTTCATAAAATTTTGATATATAAAGTAAGAAATTAAAAATGATTTGTGTTGACCAAATAAATAGTAAAAATATCTAACAAAATGTGATTGAGGGAGTATACAATAAAATGAAACATTGCTTAAAAACAAACCCAACTACAAATACATTTTGGGTACATTTCCATCAGTTTTATAGGCGGGCGAATTTCCGATAATTTTAATTTCCCTCCACAACCAAACTCCAAAGCATTTCGAATCCGCTATTCAAAATTTCCGTAATCTAACCCCCCCGCTCCTTACCGCTATTCAAAATTTCCGTAATCTCAACTCAATATATAAAGAGTCAGTGTAGCGAGACCGAGATTGAAGGGTAGCTATTTGGCAACAGCAATGGCAGTTTCAGGCGATTCCGTGGCTGAGCAGAAGCAGAGCAAGCAAGTGAAGCCAAGGCGGCGCAACAACTGCTCTTCAGTTCGTGTTGTTGGTAACCGGATCTATGATTCCCAGAACGGCAAGAGCTGTCATCAGGTAACTCCTCTTTCCGTAAGTACATCCTGCTTGAGTTACATCAGTGTTCAAAGATCGGCTGATGACAAAAGGTGGCATGGGACTTCCGTCAGCGGCGGGAGTCTGACACCCGTCAGACCAATCCCATTCATCCTGGTCTGATCTGAACAGATCTTGTTGAATGAATTGCTCCATTGTTGTATGCCCTACTTCTTAGTGTTCGTGATTTTTATCCCGCGCTTCCCTCCCTCTCCTTTCAGTCGAGTCATTCTGTACCTCCCCCGTTACAGGGGGTTGCCTAATTTTTTTTTTTGCTCTTACTGCTGTTTGTCATTTCTGAGTGTTGTTGGCATGATTGAGTTTAATATCAAGTTGTTTATTTGAGAGATTTCAAAAGGAACACATTTCAGTTTCAGTGGAAGTCGTGTGAAATGAATGAAAATAGAAAAGTCCAATGAAAGGGTTATACCTAAACTGCATCTTTTAGAGCAGAAGTTGAAACCTACAACGATATGTATCAATTATGCCTGTCTTGCTGTTTCTAGACTACTAAACATTTGCAATTCTCTACGGAGTATAGTTTGAGGGCATAAGGTGAATTGCTTGCATTTGCATGGCGTTCTTGTGTTCTTAATTATTCTAAATTACCTCTTCAGGTCTAAGCATAACCGTCTAGGAAAGGAATTTACCTTGTCCATGATATCAATTGCATTGATTGTCAACGTCAATTGTTTCTAACTAAAGGTTTAACTCCTCAAAGTAACCAAATCACTTTTTTACTTGTTCAGGCAAACATTGACCTAGCTGGTCCAATATTAGATAGCTTCAGAGAAGTTTTTGTGCAATATATAGTTTCCCTATCCTATTTAATTTAATACACTTAACACTTCCCTTTTCTGTTGATCAGAACATGAACACTCCCAATTTGAGCTTCACTCACTTTTACTTGATACTACGTATTATTCACCGTATACTTATATTTATTGGTTTACTTCTGCTGACCATACTTCTTTGTATTACTTTTAGAAGATTATAATAGTAAAATAAACACCATCTCACTTATTTTCTTAAAACCCCTTTCAAATCCGAATGTGTTACACATTTTCGAATGGAGGGAGCATATTTCAAAGGTACATTTTTTTATTATGTAAAGTTCATGATCTTTATTTACAATTCATTAATCATATCCATAGAATTTTTACTTTGTTGAAATGTTTTTGTCATTTTGTAATATACTCCATATCTAATATTTGAACATGATGCTTTGAAGTGTCGACAAAAAACCATGGACTTTATGCTAGCATGCAAGAATCCAAAGGATTTTAAGCCATGTGCCATTCGATTTTGCCACAAATGCCTTTTGAATAGGTGAGTCCGTTTTATTTTGTTTCACTTCTCTATTGTAATAGTTGATTGTATTTTGTGTTCATTGAGAGAAACATTAGTTTCTATAATTGTGTCTTTCCATATTAGGTACGGGGAGAAGGCAGAAGAAGTTGCAACTAAGGAGGACTGGCTCTGTCCAAAATGCAGAGGCATTTGCAACTGCAGTTTCTGCATGTAAAACCACCCCCAATTCTTTAGTATTTCTTAAAGGGTCTGTTTGAAATCTGGCCATGACTATGTCTATGGAAAGAAAATACGAGTATGAAGGATAGTAGTGGGGAAACATGGAGGAAAATATTATTTGTTGTTGAAGTCAAGTAGTTGATAAAGCAGTTAAGTTGTATATTTTTTTCGTAGGTTTGTTCTTATTGCAAACTCATTTTACTTATATTCATGTATTATGACTATGACTAAGATGTGTGAATATATATGAAGTATAACATTTTAAAAGTTTTGATCAAATCTGTTTTCTATTCTTAATGTAAAATCAAACAGATAAATTATTTTCCATAGCATATATTTTCTGTTTTTCCTTTCCCAATTTCCCTACCATTTTCCATGTTCCATATGGACCCTACCAGGCCTTGCTTGTTTCCAGATGCATGCTCATTAGTGAATGTAATGGTTCAGGAAAAAGAGAGGTTATCAGCCCACTGGCAATCTTGCACACACAGTCAAAGCAACTGGATGTCCCGTTTCAGAAATGATAAAGCTTAAAGAATCAGAAAACACTGATCATGCCACAAGTTTCAAAAGCTGTGAGGCTCTACCTAAAACAACCACTGCATCAAACAAGGTAGCTAAAATTATCACCACTACCATGATCATTTAAATTTACAGAAACCGTTTGACTGAGTAATGGTTCTCATATCCTAGTTTAAATTTGATAGGGAGCAAAGGTTCTAACCTCAACCAAGTGTGGGAAGGAAAACACATTTAGTGGCAATATATGGGCAAATGATCAACCTTATACCTCATCATGTAATCCTACTAAACAGGAATCTAGAAAAGTGAAAAGAGGAGATGTTATGGAGATACAGTGCAATGGTGGGAATGATAATGTTTTATCAAGGGCTAATGATAATTCTCCTAATAAAAGCAATTTTAAGAAAGCCAAGCAAGAGCACTTATCAAACACAACAAATATCTGTATTCCCCTACCTCAGGCGACTGGGCTGACAACTGTTACTGGCAATGATTTACCTCCAGATGATGTCGGAGGTGCCTTGCAATTTTTAGAGTTTTGTGCTGCATTTGGAAAGGCAAGTGATTTCTGATTTCTAAACTCCCTGCAATGGAGTAATGTAGATTGATATTAAAAACACGATTTTGCCCCATTGTTTCTTTACAGTGCATGTTCTTTAGCCTGCCTAAACTATGACATTTTTTGTCTCTCTCAATGACCACTGACCTTCTTGGTTATCTAATCAAATAAAACATTGTTGCCCAGATTCTTCGGTACTCTGACTGGATCTTATGTTCAACAGATTCTTGATTTAAAGAAAGGGCAGGCAGAAGCTGTACTTAGAGATTTGGTAGGAGGACGAATCTCACGGCGGGGAAAAACTAATGTGACCGCTCAGTTTCTTACCCACTTGCTATCCTTCATAGAAGAGGAGCATGAAGTGTATATCCAATTGCCTTAAAAGTCCAATTACTAATTTCCTTTACATTTCCCCCCTTTCAATTGATATATGAAGATGTGTGTAATCTATTCCAGGTCTTCAAATTTAGCTCGTACTGATGGAAAAGGCTTGTGGTTTGATTCTCTCAAAGAGCTCATTTCTGAATCCCCAAGTGTTTCCAAACATATGGGGTTGGATTCCTTAACTGATGGATTTGATGACTTAAGCCCCTCAAAAAAGCTAAAGCTATTAAACTTTGTGTGTGATGAAGTACTTGATACTGTGTAAGTCTCAATTATAATTTCCTAACCATTTAAATTGAATTCAATTGATAAACTTGTTGATGGGTGTAAGTGTGCAACTGCAGAAGGATAAGGGATTGGATAGATGATCAGAATTTGAAATGTGCTGAGAAGGCAAAGGAGGCAAGAGAAAAAGTTTCTGCTGCAAGAGAGGAGGTATATAGTAGTAATGGATAAAACAACCTTAAAAAAACACAGATTGCTACTTATACTGTTCAGAGAACCACTCTGTAATACTTTTGAAATTTTCTACAGGAAAAGCGTTTGAAGCAGAAGATACAAGATGATGTTGCTGCAGCAATCATTGCAAAGAATGGTGCTCCTATTTCAGTATCTGAGCATGATGCTATCGTCATTCGAGCTAAGCATGAAGCAGCTGAAGCTCATGCTGCTTTGTTACAGACAAAGGGTTATCTTTTAAAATGTATTCCCACTATCCCTCTTTAGTCATTCTGTTTTGACTTTTCGAAGTCAACAAAAACCACAATTTACCACTACTTTTCAAAGTATACACTACTTATATTAAATTATAATCCCAGCGTTCCATTTTATTACTTATTTTTAACATAATTCTATCAATCTAATTAATTTTTAATCCTTGATTTTGTGAATCAAATTGGTAACATAAAATTCAGTTTTGAGGTTTAATAGTATCTAGTATAGTTTTAAATATGTACTCCGTAATATTTAAGAAATAGTACTATTATATATTAAATACAGATTTTGAAGTAAAAAAAAACAGTTTTTCTACTTTTACACAGATTTCTACTTTTAAGTATTATTAGGTAGACCTACTTTTAATTTTAGTCAACCACATAATTTGAAACTAAGGCACATAAAATGGGTCTGAAGAATTCACCCACTGTATTTTGAAAATATAGCTATATTAAAACAATTTGGTCATTATGATTTTTATATCATAGAATAAGACTACTGTGTAAGAAGTCACGTTTCACAAGTTGCAACCTTTTAGTTTTAGTGATGGTATATAAAATTATAAATGGTTGAAAATCATCATTGGTAGCTCTATATCTAAATTTATTGTTGGTTTAACTTAATTTAGCATACTTAAGTAACTACTTGGGGACATTATTGGAAAGGTAAATACATTAACTATAATGAAACTTAGTTTTTTTTTGTTCAAATAAACACATTTTTGGAAATGACTGTTTTTTTGGAAGTAAAATTTTTGAAATCTTAATGGTCAATATTTCCTTCACCGTTTACTAACTCTGGCATTTGGTCATATATTGTTATGAATATGTTGTTTCATTTGTACATAGGTAGCCAAAGATCAGATGCAGTTCGAACTGAGCCCATCTTTCTGGACACCAATGGCCAGGTGTTTTGGAGACTGAAATGCTATTCTAACAAATCTGAAATACTACTTCAAGGTCAGTTCTATTGGAAATATACTTTGTATCTTCTTCTTGAACTGAGACACAGATTTCAACCATATTACTATCTTCTATTGATGTGCAGAGCTTGGAACTGATGCTATCACATCTGATGAAAAATGGCTTGCTTTTGATGAAGCTCATCAAGAAACAGTTGATATGTGTATCAATTCTAGGTACCCTAAAAGCAATTTCTGTATCTAAGTTTGAGATTAAAAAAACATTATTCAATGATTTTGTTTAATTTCAGGAGAAAAAAGTTTATGGCTCCAGTGGGTTCAGTTCATTAGGGAATAATCAAGGTGATGAGTGACTGAGGTCACTGCTGTAATAATTCTCAGGAGTTGGCAGCCATGTAAAACTTAAGTACCATAACTTTCTTTTTGCAACCCCAATGTATGAGTATTTTGTGGCAGTCATTCTTGGTGTACTCTATTTTGGGATATCCCATTTGTACATTACCATTTGTGTGGTTCACAAAATCCCATTTTTTGAAATTCATTGCTCCATTTTTATGAATTGCTTTTGTAAATCACACAAATAAGGGTACAAATGGGGTACCCAAAATGGGGTACCTCTAGTATTGTTTTTTGGATTCAGTTGTGCCTGTATCAAGGAACAACCTAAAAGATATAAATGTTGTAACTTTATTGTTATTAAACACCATGGACCATGGCATTTTTGAAGTAATTTTAAAGTAATTTTAAACAGTATGTAATTCAATCCAATACAAATTTATGTACGATCCCACTAGGGATGGACTCGGCCCGGGCCAACCGGCCCGGCCCGCTACTGTGCGGGCCCGGACTGGCCCGGTGAACCGGTTATTGCCCGGTTCGGGCCACCTGGCCCGGTGGGATAGCTGTCCGGGCCCGGGCCTGATATTTAGTGAACTGGATTGGCCGGTATGGGTGGACTCGTTTCGGGCCGGGCCCAGTTCGGGCCTTGACCGGCCGGGCCTCGGTTCACCAAAAGGAGGGCCCGGACCCGAACCGGTGGCTCCCGGTTCCGAGCCAGACCGGGCCGGTTCCGGGCCGGGCCACCCGGGTCATAATTTTTTTTTTTTTTTGCTTTTCTTATTTAACCCCCTATTCCTCCCCCTCAACCCCAAACCACCTCAAATGGCCCAAAATACTTAATCCAACCCAAAACTTAAAGAAAATTCAAAAAATAATAATAATAATAATTTCGGCCCGGACTGGGCCCGAACCGACCGGGCCGGTTCACCAAATGGAGGGCCCGGGCCCGGGCCCGGAACCGGTATCCACCGGGCCGGTTTGACCCGAACCATCGTTGGACCGGGCCACCGGGCCGGGCTGGTTGCTACAGTGGGCGGGCCGGGCTAGTTTCGGGTTGGGCCGCCCGGCCCGAGTCTATCCCTACCGGCCGGGCCGGGCCCAGTCCGGGCCTCAACGGTCATATTTTTAAAAAAAAAAAAATAAATGGTTAAAGGCTCTCTAGCCGTTGGGAGAGCTCCCAAACGGCTCTCTAGCCGTTGGGAGAGCTCCCAAACGGCTCTATAGCCGTTGGGAACATAGGAGGGGGGGTCTGGGGGGTTAGGGGGGTGTGGTGGGGTTGGGGTATACAAAAAAACCTATTTATACTCTTATTTTCTATACATTTTTTACACCTTTTCTTCTACAACTCTTCCTATTTTCTATAAATACATCTATTTTCTATCATTTTTCTACACCTCTTATCCAACTCTTCTCCATCTTCATCTTCTCTTATTATCCTACATTTCTACTTATACATCTACCATTTTAAAGATGGAAAGTAGTTCTTCTGTTATGCAAAACAATTTTGATAAGTGAAAGGATCTGAAGACCGGATTGTGGTGGGCAACTTGCAAGTGGTGCAAGAAAGAGTGTTGCTTGGGGCGTTCACACGGAGTCGGGATGCCAATAAAACATATGAAGTAATGTGACAAAGGCAAAACAACAACCAACGGTGGCGGAAATCACAATTGATATTTATTAGAAAATGTATTTCATATTGTTATTTTTTCTCAATTCTCAAATGTACTTCCTATTTCAAATAAATGCACTTGAATTTTGTTTTTAATAAGAATTATTATAATATATAATTTTTTTAAAAAAAAATTATATATAAGGCCCGGCCCGTGAACCGGGCGGGTGACCCGACCCGAACCGGACTCGGGTTTACCCGGGCCGGTTCCGGGCCTCCCATACCTTGAACCAAGGTCCGGCCGGTTCAAGGCCCGAACAGGGCCCGGCCCGAACCGAGTCCATCCCTAGATCCCACAATGATCGAGTAAGGTGTTTAGGAATGAGTTCTACACCATATCATTCCACTATAATTGTTAGTGTTAGACATTTCAATTTTGATCAATTAAAATTGAACCATATGCAATATAAGTTTGATAGTATTTCTTTCGAATAATATAAAACTTAACCAAAATGTGAAAAAATAACATAAAATTGAACTGAATTCAAAAAGCAAAACTTCAAAATAACTTAAAAAAATAATAAATCTTAGCTGGAACAAAATACCAAATTGATCTAAATCAAATTGAATCAAACCAAGACATTCTCTCAATCTATTTCAACTTGAATTGAATTGAAAACTGAACGATAAAAAACTGAGATGCCTAGCCTTAATAATTATTCTTTCTTGTAAAGAGGAGATTCACTCTTATTCACCGACTAGTTTTCTACACGCGCGATGCGCGAATGTATAAAATGTCCAATGATTTTGATTTTGAAAATGTGCACATTAACACCATGACAAACATCTAGTAAGTATTAATATAGATGATTCACATTCGATCTAATATAAGACCTTGACATGATAATTTACGAGATAGGAATGAAAGGTACCGTAAATAAATATCGAGGAAAATATAAGATTCACTAATATACAAAGTAAATATTTTTATAATGCGTAAATTATCCGCATATAACTTTAAATAATACAAATTATCTTCAATGAACCAAGCAAATAATACCTACTTTGGATATAATTTTACAAATGGCTCAATGAAGATGATAATGAAAGATAGGCATTATGTGAACTCGGTTTATGTAACCTCTATATTGCTATATAAAGCATAGACATATCAATCACATGCAAATTTAGTTGGGCATAATCATTTTTCATTTGCTCATTATTCTCACAAAATTCAGTTGTACTAATCATGTACATTAATATGAAAGTATTAAATAAGTGGCCCTATTGACAAATATCATTTATTTGAAGTTTTGATATGGGTAAAGCACTCATGCTTATGAAGAAAAATTGGAGCATACTAAGATAGAAGCGACTATAGGTCGGCCAAGTATTTCATGGTCTAATTGCATCATTGTTGATTTCCCAAAGAGGTGATCGCAGGTTTGAGTCTCATCCTTATCAAAGATGTTGACATTATCATGAGCGTATACTATAATAGATTTAAAAAGATATCCCACCCCCAAAAAATTATAGAACTATGAAAATGTAGTGGCAAATGGTAAAAGTAAGAAGTATACCCTTTCTTTTCTATATACGGAGTAATTTTTTCTCAAATCTATTAATAAAATACTCCCTATGTCCCATTTAAAGTTTCTCACTTTTCGTTTTTAGGAAACAATTTAAATGATAATTTAATCATCAATAACCCATTGTATTACATACTCATTACAATTATTTCTCAAAATATACTCAAATTAGCACATTTAATTATTGTCTTAATAATCGTGTCATTTTGTTAGGAGAACTTTTAAATGGGACGAAGAGAGTATTTTATACGAAGTATATTTTTTTCTACAATTCAACATTTTCACATAATTCAACCGCTTCAGTTATCATTTCATCAATTTTGTATACTCAGCTAATTAAGCCAATGCAACTTTCAAGTGGTATCGAACGGGGTCTAAGTTTATTAAAAAATCGTGTTGACAGTTCTACTATTTCTATTTCTTGCTTGAGAAAGAAAGGAAAAAAGACACCCGTACTCATAAATCTAATAGCTTATTACATAGTAATATAGTATACATAGTAATGATAGTATTTGTTAAAGCATAAAAAGAAAAAGAAAAAACTAATTAAGAAATATGAAGTACTCCTTGTTAAGCGTTGGGAGCAAAAATAGAGGTAGTAGGCTAGTAGCAGTCTAGCAAAAATAGAGGTAGTAATTGACGATTTCAACTAACGGAGTTTGATGTTCCTTCCGGTATTAAAGTGTTTGACAAACTAAGGTACAATAATTTTAACTCAAAATACAAGTTTACATTAGCCTATGATTACTACCAACACATTTTCCATACCCAAATTGCCCTTACCTTCATTCACCTTTATAAGATTGTAGAAGTGTGAACTTAAATAAGTTAAGGACTTCTTCCATTGAAGATGGCTTAGTAGAAAAAAGTTCATGGTTTTTCTTTACTGATTTCCTTGTAAACCCACATGCTTACTTTGCATTCTTGATTTTTGACCAAGAATATTGAGTTGAATTTTCATGAATAATAGGAATACTAGAACAAGAATGTCCAATAGTGGGAATACTACATAAATCTACTGTAACTTTAAAGATGTTCTTATTCTCAGACAAATATATGTCATTTTGAACTCCAACATTTTTTTTACTACTACCTTTTTCAATTTAGTAATGCTACACAGTACATAAAACAAGCGCATTACTACATTTGACAGTCATTGTAATATTGTCCAATAAATCAAGCGTCAACAGTTAACATTGCAAAAGAAGAAAACTCAACTTGGAAGTATACAATGATACGATCATAACTAATTAGCAACTTTTGAAAAAAAAATACTTGAAAGCTAACTTGAAATGATGAGTTATATGAAGTTATGAACTGATACTGTGATACAAAGTGGAGTACGAGTACGTATTTCACAAACGAAAGTTCTTCACAAGTTTTATTTTCCTGTACATGCTAAGTTATACAGTACATGATATAATATAAGCATATACAGCTATAAAAGCTTCCCCAGTTGCAATGTTAGAAGACATGGAGGATGCACTGACATGAGTCGCTTACAAATTACAATGTAGTGTTGGAAACTAGTCGGACCTCATATAGGTTTTTGTCTCCCTCAACTGCACCCATACGTGAAGAATGCTATGAGAATTATAGCCAAGAAAAGTCCCTAACTGCCTGATGCTTTATAAGTGTATGAATATATATCAAAAGTAAATTATTCCCATTATGAAGAGATTTATTGTGAAGCATAAACCCTAGATGAGTATCTGCTTATTGAAGGTGCCCATAAATTGGGGATTCAATGGAGTAAATTGTATTTAGGCCAGTGCCAATTAATAATAATAGTCCTACCGCCACCCCTATTTTACCACTTGGAAACATTTACGTATAACAAAGGTGCTCTTTTACTCTTATTTTTGAAAGTTTTGTTAATTCGTTATATACGAAGTGTGTGTGTGTGTGTGTGTGTGTGTGTGTGTGTATATGTATGTATGTATGTTTGTATAGCATAAGTACAAAATGAAAAGAAACATTATAAGCTTTACCAATTTCAGCTGAAACCCCTGGACCAAAGAAGGAAGCAAACTTTTCCTATCAAATGAAAACGAAAAGCGAGATTAATAACAAATATAATGAGTATCTACGGAACAGTTGACTCTGAATTGAGGGTTTAATATATAACTTCAGGAGGGGTCTAAATTTACCTGTCGTTTTTCAAAATCTGATAACCGCAA